TGGCCACTCCTAAAGTTCCTGCTGTTAAGAAGAGGAAGGAAATAGAGTCTAGATCCATAGTGTGGGAGCACTTTGAACAGATCAAAGATCCTGAAACTCAGAAAGTGCTTAAAGGCAAATGTCTTTACATTGCAAAAGAGTATTTTTGTGAAACTAAAAAACATGGCACATCATCATTAAGAAATCATATGGGAAATTGTCTTAAAAATACCCATTCAAAGGATATAAGGCAGTCTCTACTCACATTCAACACTTTGTCCACTTCTGAGGGTGGAACAGAGGCTCCTGTGGGTGTTTTGGGGACATGGGTATTTAATCAAGATGCCATTAGGAGAGCCCTTTGTGAGATGATAATCATAGATGAGCTCCCTTTTGGGTTTGTAGAGGGCCAGGGGTTCAAGAGGTTTATTCTGGTTGCTTGTCCTAGGTTTCTTATCCCTTCTAGGTGGACCATTTCTAGGGACATCTACCAAATATTTCTTGATGAGAGGCTAAACCTTAAGAAGTTGTTTAGAGTGGGAACTCAAAGGGTTAGTCTAACAACAGATACATGGACTTCTGTCCAGAGAATCAACTATATGTGCATTACTGCACATTTTTTAGATGACCAGTGGAAGCTTCAAAAAAAAAATTATATCCTTTGTCCCAGTTTCTTCTCATAAGGGGGAGTACATTGCAAAAGCCCTGGAGAGTTGTTTATTAGAGTGGGGAATTAAGAATGTGTTTACTGTAACAGTGGATAATGCCTCCTCTAATGACACAGCTATGGGGTTTTTTAAGAGTAAACTGTTATCTTGGGGTTCTTCTTCTGTTAAGGTTCAGTACATGCACATGAGGTGCATAGCCCATATCCTCAATTTAGTGGTCCAAGATGGGTTGAAGTTTACAGATGAGTCAGTTAAGAGGGTGAGGGATGCAGTAAGATGGGTTAGGAACTCACCAGCTAGGCTGACAAAGTTCAGAGAGTTTGCTGAACTGTTTGGTGTGGAAGCTAAATCAGCTTTGCATCTTAATGTCCCTACAAGGTGGAACAGCACCTACATTATGCTCAACACTGCAATTCAATATCAAGTAGTGTTTGATGCATATGAGAGAAATGACCCCTCTTATTCTGCTGACTTGGGGAGTGCTCCTACCTTCTTGGATTGGTGTTCTGTGGAAAGCTTAGTGAAGCTGTTAAAAGCATTTTATGATATGACAGTGAGGATCTCTGGTTCACTTTATGTCACATCTAACACATTCTTCTCTGAGATCTCTGATCTTAGTTGCATGCTTGAAGCTATGGTGAACTCTGAGCAGGGGACTGAAAAGGTAATCTCATTTATCTTTCAATTTGTTTGCTTATTGTTTTTTGTATTTCCTGTAATTCTGTTAACTAATAAATTGTTTTTTTTTTCTGTTTTAGGCAATGGGGACACAAATGAGGAACAAGTTTGACAAATATTGGGGGGATCCAGAAAAAATGAACTCTATCATTTTTTTTGCCAATATTCTGGATCCCAGAGATAAGTTGGAGTACATGCCTCATCAATTTGTCCAGTTGTATAGAGAAGAGAAAGGTAAAGCTTGTTTTACCAAGGTCCAATCTGCAATGACTGCTTTATATGATGACTATGCAGCTACATACTCTCTCAATTCTACCCAGACAGCATCCTCTACTCAAGCAGTCCAGTCTGAGGCTAACCAGGCTACTACTTGTATAGTTGGTAGGCCTCAGTCATCTTTGAAGAGCCAACTTAAAAAAAAAAAAAAAAAGAGATTGGAAAGTAGTGGAAGCAGTAAGCAAACTGAGCTGCAAGTATACTTAAGTGAAAGTCTTGTGGAAGATGATGAATCTGTCCCATTTGATGTGTTAAAGTGGTGGAAGAGCCATAGTGAGAGATTTCCTATTCTCTCCAAAATGGCTAGAGATGTCCTTGCAGTTCCTATCTCCACAGTTGCTTCTGAGTTGTTTTAGTACATCTGGAAGGGTACTTGATCCATTTAGGAGTTCCTTGACTCCTAAAATAGTGGAAGCACTAATATGTACTCAAGATTGGTTGAGGGCACCTAATCAGCCAATCCAAGTTGAGGAGAACCTGGAGGAGGTTGAAAGATTAGAGAAAGGTAACACTTATCACTTTCTTAGTTACTTTTTTTTATTCTACTAAGTTTATTTCCTTTTCACTTTCTTTCTTACTTATTATGTTTTTCACTTTTGCAGAATTGCCCACTGGAGCTTCATCTACTATACCATCAATGTTGCCTACAATCACTGTAATGTTTTTAATATCAGTTTACAATGTGTTCATTTCTTTACTGAGTTTGATATTCTGTTATGTACTCATGTTGTTGCAAGTGGTGTTTAGCCTCTAAGTGGCTTGGCAACTTTCTGTTATTGATTTGTTGCTGCCATTAGATGAGTTGAGCCCAATTTTGCCCATTTCTCTGCACTCTGGAATTATGGTATAACTCTTCCTTGCTCTGTTTTCAGTTTGAATGTATTTGTTTTATTTGGTGGCTATGATGAAAGCTTCCACTATTGTTTGAATAAATGGAATGGAGTTGGTATGTTGTCAATGTGTTAATATAACACATTCAGAGCAATTTGCCCACATTCTTACTTGATATGGAAAAATGCACTCTGAGCCACTTAGCGTAGTGAATAATTGCTTAGTATTGTTACTCTAAATGTCTGATTGTCTGTTTTTTAAACTCTAAACACTAATATCATTTTAAGTTTGAATACTAGCAGGAAGAAGAGTAGATTATCTAGATGACTAGATTAGTGTTGATTTTGCTGAATTGCTGAAAGAAGAACTGAAGAGTACCGGTGCTGACAGCTCAAGTCTATGATTTTTTGTATAATCATTGAAATTCGAAAATACGTAATTATTAACTTAGTTTGAAACTGTTATAGTTGTATTTTTGCTAGTTGCTACGCTATGGTAATGAAACTCAGTATTACTTTTATCTATTTTAGAATTTTTAGAATTTAGAATTTGTTTTATTTTAATTTATTATATCCGATTTCAATCCGACAACGGATATCCGAAATCCGAACCTATGCAATCCGATAGGATCTGTCCAAAAAAATAAACGGATAGGGGGGTACAAAAGAAATCCGAAATCCGATCGGATGGACGGATTGGACATCCGATCCGTCCGAATCCGACCGATGCTCAGGCCTAGGCCAAGCAGCACTGGCTACGCGGGGCTGACGCAAATACAAAATTTTATCACAGGTATGCCTCTGCACGTAGGAAAAAGAATTTTATCTCAAGTATTAAATGTGATGCTGGTAACTGGGTAGAGGGGGATGATATGCATGCTGCTATACTGAATTACTTTGAAAATATTTTTGCCTCTAATGGATTGAGTTGTGATGATCCACTTTTTGGGGTCCTAACCCCACGAGTAACGTTGGAACAAAATATGATGCTTGACCGCCCTTTTGAAACTAACGAGGTTAAAGAGGCTCTTTTTTCAATGTATCCGGATAAGGCTCCGTGACCGGATGGTTTAAACCCGGGTTTCTACCAGCAGTTTTGGGAGATAGTGGGAGGTGATGTATCTGGCTTTATATTGAATACTTTGAATTCCTGTGTATTCCCTGAGGGATTGAATGATACTAACATTGTATTGATACCGAAAAAGGAGATGCCTGAGACAGTTGCAGATTTAAGGTCGATCGCATTGAGTAATGTCATTTACAGAATTATGGCTAAAATGATAGCAAATAGGATGAAAACACTAATGGGAGGATTGATATCAGAATCCCAGAGTGCTTTTATCCCGGGAAGGCTAATCACTTATAACATCCTGGTGGCAGCAGAGGTGGGGCATTATCTGAATAGAAAGCAATGTGGTACAGTGGGATGGAGTGAATTGAAGTTAGATATGTCAAAGGCCTATGATAGAATGAAGTGGAACTTCCTAGAAAGGATGCTGACTGTTATGGGTTTTAGTGAGAAGTGGATAAAGCTCATTATGATGTGTGTAACGACTATTAATTATACTGTAATGGTTAATGGTATAGCAGGGGGCACGTAAAACCAACCAGGGGACTCAGGTAGGGAGACCCGCTCTCTCCGTATTTATTTATTATTTATGCAGAAGCTCTCTCGATGATATTACAATATGAACAGTTGGCAGGCTCAATACATGGGTGCAGAGTTGCAAGGGGGGCGCCGCCTGTATCACACCTATTTTTTGCGGATGATAGTCTCCTATTTTTTAAAGCAAATATCCAAGAGGCAGGAGTTATAAGGCAGTGCCTTGCAAGGTATGAGAAATTGTCAGGTCAGGTAGTGAATTATAATAAATCTAATATATGTTTTAGCAGAAATACCCAGGAGGCTGACAGGGCACAGGTAGCGAATTGTCTGGGGGTGGTGCAAGCACCCAATTTTGGGAAATATTTGGGCCTACCATCTTTTGTAGGGAGAAATAAGAGAGCTGTTTTTTCGTATGTGGAGGAAAAAATCAGGCAACGAATTGGTTCGTGGAGTAAAAAGTTACTCTCTCAGGCTGGTAAGGAAGTATTATTGAAAAGTGTAGCGCAATCTATGCCTACCTTTTCGATGAGTGTTTTTTTGTTACCTGAGACAGTTTGTCAGTCAATTGAGCGAACTATGAATAAGTATTGGTGGGGCAGTGGAAGAGAAAGGGGAATACATTGGAAGGCATGGGACAGGTTGTGCATACCAAAAAAGTATGGTGGTATGGGTTTTAAAGAGCTGAGGGCCTTTAATCTAGCAATGCTGGGTAAACAGGCATGGCGATTTTTAACAGACGCGGAAACACTCGCAGCAAAAATCTATAAGGCAAGGTATTATCCCACAACCAGTTTTACAGATGCAACTATTGGTAATTGCCCAAGTTACTGTTGGAGAAGTATAATGGCAGCCCATGCAATGGTAGTCTCAGAGGTGTGAAGGAGGATTGGGAATGGACAGACAACTTTAATATGGGGACACCCGTGGTTACGAGATAATCCTAGCCCATTGGTTCAAACAGAAATGCCACAGCAATTGAGAGAGGCACGAGTTGCAGGACTAATTGATTTACAGACTCATACCTGGGATCCGCATATTTTGTCTGATTTATTTATTCCTGAAGATGTGGAGCGAATAAATATGATCCCTGTTAGTCCTGAGTATGAGGACTCATGGTATTGGATGAGTGACCCAAATGGGACATATACAGTAAAGAATGCCTATAGGCACATTGTGGGTGATTATGAGAATAATCCAGCGAATTTTGATAAGTGGGTTGCAATGTGGAAAATAAAAGTCCCCCCTAAATGGAAAACTTTCTTGTGGAGAGCCATTTGTGACATCTTGCCAACAACCCTTAACTTGATATTAAAAAGGGTGGAGGTGGACCCAACTTGCCCTATGTGTGGTTTAGATCATGAAGATGTGTTGCATGCTTTAGTGCTCTGTGAATATTCTAGACTTGTTTGGAATATAACACAATTGCCTATTATTAATATTGTTGCAGACTCGTTTACAACATGGCTAAAAGGGGCTATGGCGGCCTTGACGGAGGAGCAGACCCGGTTAATGATAGCAGTATTATATTATATTTGGAGAACCCGGAATTCAGCTGTCTGGAAGGGATCAATGATGCGACCTACCCAATTGGTCAGAGCAGCCACCGTAGCGCTGCAGGCGTGCGGCGCTGCCCATGTCCGCCGAACCGAGCCGGCACCAGCGACGGACCACTTGAACGGTTCAGGGGAGGGTGGTCTACGATGTTATGTGGACGCGGGTTTCCAGCACGACACGGGCGAGGCTACTTACGGCATGATAATTATAGCGCCAGATGGCTCGTTTGTGGCAGCAAGGAATGGCAAGTTACCAATTTGTTTTTCACCACTTGTGGCGGAGGCCCAAGCATACAAGGAGGCTTTGTCCTGGCTACTTGAACGGGACAACACATCAGTAAGTTTACTCACGGATTGCATGGAATTGGCTACGATTATCAGGCACCATCACACGCCGATCCATTCGTACGTTGGGGTCACAGTTGACCAGTGCAGAACGTTTATGTCTTTTTTTAATCGTATTACTTTGGATTACATCTCTAGGCAGGTTAATTTACATGCGCATAATTAGCTACGTTAGCTTTTACTCAGGATCAAGCTATGTACTGGGATGCTATCCCACCTGACGCTATTTCGGCTTTGATTCATTAATACAATCGCAAGATTGACCTTTAAAAAAAAAAAGACTTTTATGAACTTTAAAAGTTTGGAGGTATTCAATTCAAACTTTTAGAGAGTCTTTAAAAGTCATGCGGTATTCAATCACGATTTTTAAAGAGTCTTTAAAAATCATGTGGTTTTCAGTTAAGACTTTTAGAGAGTCTTTAAAAGTCATGTGGTATTCAAAAAGTTATGAACTTTTGTAGACTTTTTAATTTTAGGACTTTTGTAGACTTTTCCTTTTCAAATATAAATAGTTGAAATCCAACCATCAACCCCAAGATTTCAAAATTTTCTTTCAAACAACTTTGAATGTTTTCTCTATCTATTTAAACTCTATTTTTTTTCTCCCTATTGTAACTTTATAACCTATCTAAATTTAATAAAATTATTTTTTTCTTCATTATCCTATATTTTCCTCATACCTAAACTCTACCAATTTTTCTCTCTCCTAAACTTTACAATCTTCTTCTAAAAATTTGAAATAATATTATTTTTACTTCATTATTGCTTGTTTATATTGATTTTTATTTTTTTCTATGAATTTTTTATCACTAACTTTCTCTAGTTCTCCCTAAATACATGAACAAAGCAAATTTTGTCATTGTGAAATTTTAGTATATGTTTCATAATATTCATATAAATACTTATATATTTTGATTTTTATGTTTATATTCGTAATATATATTTTTCCTTTTTTTTTTTAACAACAAGTTACTACGAATAGCGAACTACTGTTCGCAACAACAATTTGGAGTTGCAAACAGTAGCACCTTGTTGATGTTCACAGTCTCAAATTGCTATTGCAAATAATAGTTCTTTGCGTGATGCCTAGCAATATATCAAGTATAATTATATATATATATATATATATATATATATATATATATATATATATATATATATATATATATATATATATATATATATATTAGATTTTTATTTTTTTTATATTTTATGAAACTTGTAATTATATTTTTTAATATTTTATTTGATCAATTCTTTTATTATAAATTTTATTGTTCAATATTGTTATGAATTTCTAATGAATAGTTTTTTTTGTTGATATTTATTAATAATATATATAAGTAACTAGCATATAAGTCTCATCATACTATGGATAAAAATAATAATGTTGAGAATGTTGATGTGGGTGAAAAACTATATAATAAGAAGAATTTTATGATATATTATAAATGTTTTGTGAAAAAATTATAAATGATAAGAATCAAAATCATTGAAAGTTTGTAAGGATGTATTCAATTTAGAATTTCAATGACTATTGTAGACTTTTTAAAATAAGAAGTTGATAAAAGTCTATGAATGTTTTTTATATAGACTTTTATAAAGTTTTAAAAAGTTTTGAACGTCTCTATACAAGTCGATCAAAGTTTATTAAAATATATCATTTTAAAAGTTTTTAAAACTCTACAAAAGTCATGATTGAATACACCCCCTAAGATTGTAGATTTAGAATTGATGAATCTCAGCATTATATATAAAATATAATGATAAAATTATTAAAAAATATATTAATACACCCTCAACGGCTAAATAGCCATTGAGGTGTATTTAAGACTGTGTTTGGTTGACATGTTTAGCTCTTAGGAATGAGTATCAAAGTGATTGATATTATTTGGTTAATAAGTTTTTAGAACACTGTTATGAGTTTGAAATACACCTTCACTATTTATTTATTTATTTAATAATAAATGGTAAGTGAAGTGGGCAGCATCATAAATGCTCAGATCATATTCTCCTTAGAGAAAGTTTTTTTTTTTTTTTTTTTTTTTTTTAGAATATGATTTGCTCCCCTCCAATTATTTTATCTTTCTTTCTCCCTATTTATCTCCTTCATTAGAGATGCCTTAAAAACTTAAGTTATTCTTATTCCTTCAAATATTTTTTACTTTTTAAAATGGGTCTCACTTTCACATTATTAAATTTGTAAATTCTCCACTATTTATTCTATATTCCTGCAAATCTCTCTCACTTTCAAAAATGGATCACACTTTCATATTATATTATAAATATAATAATAAGATAATATTAAAAGAAATAACAATAAAAAAAACAAACAAAAGGTGAAATGGTTGGCAGCAAAAGCTGTCGCATTGCTTCTCTCTCCACTTGCTAAGTTAGTTAATTCTTTCTCCTTTCACTATTCACGTAGATTGAAAATCAATATATATATATATATATATATATATATATATATATATATATATATATATATCTTGCCACATCATTTAGCAATCCACTCAATTTATGAGATGAGGTTAGTCTTAGAAACTTTTAGATAGAATGCATAAAAGTTACAATAGTTTGTAGGATCGAGTTAAACAAAAGATGTATGTAAATGGATGGGTAAGTTGTTAGTTTGATCTTGAAATATGCTCCAACTAAGGGTATTTAATTGGGGAATTCTATTTGCACCACCCTAATTGCTATTTACACCACCCTTTGATAGGTGTGCTAGCTGTATAGGTGGTATAAATAAAATTACTTGTTATTTGCACCACCTTAATTAAAGTTAGTCAAACATTATGTTTTTATTTAAAAAATATTTATTTTTATTTTTATTTTTATTTGTAATTAAAAATTAAAACATAAAATAAAAAAAATCATCGCCTTCTCCGGTGAGAAATGCGAGTTTTTTTTAATTAATTAATTAAAAATATATCTAATGGAATCTCGTAAATTATATTTGACCAAATTGATATAAATAGTCATATTTACACACTTATTGCTATTTACATCACTTATGTAATTGTTGAAATTTTTCACCTTTTTACCGTTCTAAAGTTATTCAATATTTATACCACTTTTCACTTGAGGGTGGTACAAATAACAACACCTATTTAATTATAGAATTCAAAATGAGATGAGAGAGAATAGAAATGGAGGCAATGTGAGCATTGAAAAACATTTAATTTAATGAAGTAGTTTTTTTTTTCTTTCTTTTTTTAATGAAGTAGTTGGGAGCTAAGACAACTGATGAATTGAAGAGAATGGCATGTTTTGTGTCAACGGGTATTGTGCTAGACCCCAACCCTGGCCAGTACTAAGCCAAGAAGAGTTGACAAAATCACTAGCTTCATTATCTGTTTCCAATGTCAGTGTTTTCACTGGACAAGAATAAATGTCAACCAGACTTCCGTTCATGAAATTGAAACGAGGTGACTAGAAACTTGACACGTATCGGATTTCTGCTGGAATTGCCCAAGCATTCAACCTATGACTTTGGTGTTCTTCTCCTTATACGTTGAATCACAAACTACAAGCGCCTCTCAAGCTCTAGTCCAATAAAATATGTAAAATGATATAAATCACGGTAACTCAGTGATTCAGAGTATTAGAGCAATAAGTTAATTTTACAAAAAAATAATATATGTAAAGGAATTGAAAATTTAATAACAATAATCCCACAAACCAAAGAAAGGAGGGATCTAAATCATGTAAAACACACTTTTCTTAAAATCGATAGACTATTTTCCGTGGTACTAAGAGTATTGTAGCGTCAGTCTCCCAAGATAAAATGGATCAACAGACAACAATACTATATTTCAAACACTCAAACTATAGACCTTGGGCGAACTAGAACATGAAGGTTGAACATAAAGCGTTTTTCAAGAATGAATTGGCAGATTTTATTTTTTTTAGGAAGAAAACAACGTAGGAGTAGAAAAATGATTTTTTCCGTCTCTAAACTCTGCCCAAACACATAGGTTTATATAGGGATGATTAAAATCACACCATTCATTGCCACACAATAAATTTGAATTAATAATTGGATTATAACGTTTGAAACGATCATATAATACTTATTATCAAAATAGTATTAATGATTACGGAATTAATATACAATTAATTCGCATCGACCATTAACAACCTGTTTTAAAACACCTGAGTGTCCGAGAAGTTCATACGTCCGAAAAGTAAACAATCTTTCGGAATCGCTCAGATGGAACATAGGAGGAACGGAGGTTTCGTGTTATGAAAAAGTTGTTGCGAACATAGTGAAATACCGGAAGTTTGATGTTATGAAAAAGTTACACCACACGCACATGATCCGAGCGGGCAGTGGCACACACGTGATCTCCCTTGATTTCTTCTCCATATCCTTTCTTGACCCTTAAAAGAGTTGTATCTCATATAAAGTGAAAATATGTGACTCTCAAAAGCAATGTGAGACAACACTTTTAAGAGAAAAAACCTTTTTCTTTTAAATGTTTTCCGACAATATAATATCCTATTTGACTACCCTTTGATTTACTAATTGAGAACAATATCTATCTGGTGTGAGAATACCTTCTCAAAAAACCTTACAACTAAACACTACTTTCCACATAACCCACATAACATATCACATTCACACCAAACCCATAACAAGAATAATAGCATAAGCAATAACGTAACACCACAATGTAATGCCGCATCTCAGTTGATCACAGGGATGAAGTTTAAAAAAAAAAAAAAACTAGAAAATTACCATGATTTTCATCACCCAGATCCTTGGAGTTGAGGATTCAATCGCAAACACCCAAACACAATTAAAACCCAAACAATATTATCAAAACATTCTTTTAAACCCCCCGGCCCAACCATTCAAGAGAATGAAACTTAACAAACTAAGCACATTGTGTAAGTGGTGTTGAAAGGAATCAAATTAAAGGATACACTCACGCCATAGAGATAATAAAGGGAATATCGTCATATCATCACATTAGGACATAAGAAGTGATGAATACATTAGATATATGCGTACTGCATTCACTACTACATCATATAATTTAACAGGTAGCAGATGTGACAGAGAGCGGGTATGCAAAGGAGTCAGCATACACGAAGGAGACAACTTCGTTGGGGTTGAGATTTCCGCCGTTCTTGAG